TCCAACCGCAGATCTGGGGGCAAAGGGAGCGCGCCGGGGTCGAGGAAGCGTGCCTGAGGAGAAGCTGCCTATTCAGTTCTGCCAACTTCCGGGACTGGCAAATTCAGAGAGGACTCAGTAGAGAAAAACGGAGCAGTGCTGGACTCTCCTTCTGGATGGTACATGGCAGTGGACACTCTCTGCTTTTCAGAGAAACTGCTCTCATCAGAATTGGACCTAGAATGGTCGTTGGTGGCTCCCGCTGCAACAGGCTCATAGCTGCTGCATTGCAGGCCTTGAGATGGTCCATTTTTATATTCCGCGGCTTGAGCACTTCGCCCGTTATCTTCTGAGTCAGGAAGTTCTGCGTCTTCTCCCTGCGGATGGATTCCACCAGGGTGTCCAGTCCCTTGGGATTTTCCTGTAAGTAGTCTAACAACTTCCCAGCTCTTTTCCCACTTGAAGTTCGTCAAGAAATTTCTTCTGTGTCTTCGCTACTGAGTATTTTCTTTGCACGTAGGTGATCAAAATGTCTCTCTGCTGTGATTTTCTCACACAGCCAAACACGTAAATTTTCTAAAGCGTCCTTCTTCACTTTGGTGAGGTCCTCCTCTGTGAGGGACAGCAAAGGAGTTTCCATGGCCGAGGCCGGGATGGCGTCCTCGATCATATTCCTTCTCCAACCTGAACTCATCACAGATCCTCTCCCCTTCCCACCCAACTTAATGCTCTTTCTCTCTCAAAAAACAAAAGACCCCACCCAAACAAAGAAAACCAGCAAAAAGCATACATTAAGGAAAGAAAAGCTAAAGAACAAAAATAAAATATTGAGTCCTTTTTGTGTTGGCCAACTATCCCTGAGCCCATGAGGCCTGACCTTGAATACGTTTGATTGAAGAATATATTCAACCGAAGAAAACTGATTTTTCTCTCTCTCTCTCAATTGCAAATAGCTTCTTAGTTGGAAGTTTATGTGGTTTGAACCTGTACAAATCTTGTGCAAGCTGCCACACTCTCTGAGTTCATACGTGAATCAGCCTTGGTGCAGCTGGAAATCACTGTCTCCTTGGCATCACCCAGCACCTCCAGGTCTTACACTTTTTCTGCTTCCTCTTCCGCAGAGGTCTCTGAGCCTTGACGGGAGGGATATGATAAATACATCCCACTCAGGGCTGAGCACTCCAAAGTGCCTCACCCTCTGCCCATTACAGTCGTGAGTCTCTGTGTTTGTTACCATCTAGTGAGGAGAACATTGTTAGCTGCATGCTCATCCTGTGCTCTCTCAGCTGCAGTCATGGCTTCTACCAGAAACCCTACACCTGCCAGATCTTTAGCAGTGATGCTCACGGTTGCTTGATGGCCATTTCCTTCTTGTTTTAATCACTTCAAACTTAAAATTTGTCATGTTATCTTTTCTGAAGAAACCTTATTTGTTCCTGGCATCATTCCTCCAGAATTCTAATTTTAAAAATCTTTGACTTCTTTGCCTTCCAGAAAACATGTCTATTCTTTGTTTCCAATGAAGCAATCCTAGATATCTTATACTGCTACTCAATCTCCCATTTTCCTACCCCAGTCCCTCCAGTCTCTTCTCAAACCTTTATTATTATAAATAGGTTTTTAATCAAGTCACCTTTGGATTCCAAATAATCCAGTTTAGTCTGTATTGTTAAATAAGGCACAATATATAAACTCCTTCGTTGGACAGTCACAGCCCATCACAATCCAACAGACATCCATCTTTATGAATGACCTTACAAAGACCCACCAAGATAGATTTCCCATTGCCACCATGGTGCCTGTATTAGTGTTCTGTAGCGTCTTCTGCATCTGTCTCCCTTCCCTGTTATAGTTATGTGTTCCTGAACACCCATGCTACATTCTTCATATTTCTTGAAAGAATTCTGAATAGAAGGGAATACTTTCTCTTGCTAACCATTGCATTTTAAATACTGATCATTTTGAAATTATAATATTCTTCCATTCAGATATGTAAATGTGTCTGTGTCTAAAGTATGCACATTGTGCCTTGCAAGCAGCAGCAAACATGCTTTGTTCATCTGTGTACTGTCTGCTGCACCTGGCATCAGCCTTGCAAACTTTCTTCTGTTCTTCACATCCTAACACTCATTTTCTGTTAGTCTGGTACCGTATTACACATTTTTAAGTACAATATCAACAGCCCACTAATCATCATTATATACCCCTCCCCTTCCTGCATTTTTCATTTTAATGACATTGTCATGTAAAAATAGCAATTCTGTCTCTGAACAAAGTTGTTTAAACAGGTGCTACTGCAAAATTAATATTCTGGTTTTGCTGTGGAGCAATAGTAGCCATCGCTCTAAAACCTTTAGTCTCAGTTGTCACATAGTTAAGAGGTTAAGATTGTAAAGCTCTCATGGTTATATGGCTCACCCTCCTTAGCTACAAGGAAAATCCCATGTAATTTGTTTCAAATTATACGTTACCAATTTAAGGATGCTCAATATATTATACTGTTACTCTGGGCAATGCATGTGAAGTTCTGTGCTTTGAAGGCTTTTTGGACATAGTTACAGTAGTTAAGGTATCTTTTGTGGTTAAGCGGTAGAAACTCATCTCAAACTAATTTAACAGAAGGGGACATTCACTCCTTCACAAAATTGAGTGGGCATGGCTTCACGCTCAGCTGACTCTCAAAGGATGCCACACTCCCATTTCCACCCTTTCATCTTCCAGCCCTGGCACCCTGTATATTGACCTCATTTTCTCCCACAGCATAGCCTCCAAACAAACCAAGGAAAGCAATTACTGCTCTGCCTTTCACAATGTCTGTAACTCCAAAGAAAGTTCTAATTGCCCCTATTTAGGTCAAACCAGCACTATAGACTAGCCAGAGAGATAAACTACCTTGGGTTGGGTCAACTGACCACTCTGTTTGTAAGAAAGGAGCTGAGAAGAGCTGACCAACTTAGAGCCACATAGATTCGACTGAAGATACTCACAAGGGCAGAGTGTATAATTATCAGAAGTGGAAACAGAAGCTGGGCACAAAATCAAACTGCTACCCTCTGCTACATTTCAGCCTCTGCCTCTTCAGGACACACATTTCATTTTCCCTTCCCTCATATTTAAGAAAATTGCTCCAGGCAAAATAATACTATCATCCTCACTAAAAATGGCAGTTAGTCACAGTCACTGTGAGCTCTACTGCCAGCTCTGAGTCTAGAGTCTCACACAGATAAGAACAAATCCTGTGTTTGGATATGACTCCCCATGTTCCATGCTCCATCAAATCAGCTACACAATTAATAACAACTCCCCCAAACCCACTGATCAACAGAAAAGAAAAATCAAGATGACAATAGTGAAAAATGCCTATTCAGAAAAATAGATAGTAGTTAATGGTATTGTAACAGAGTCTATGCTATGTTCTAATCTTGGATTCCCAGGCTAAGCAGTGAGTTCTTTGGCCACCAGGTATCTAGACATGCAGGATAGGTGTCCTAAAAATCTCCATTTTCCAGAGAAAGAGAAGCATAGGAGAAAATACATCCTTTGAGGAGTACTTCAGGCACTCACCGTGGACCTGTCATGGCTACTGGGTCCTGTCAGGCAGCGTAACACTTGTATAACAAGTTTATCACTGTGAGATTCACATTTATTCTGGCAATTTCTCTCAAAACTGCTATATGCCATGAGCTTGACTCTTAGGAGCTCTGAGAACTACTAGCTGAGGCTAGCTGTAGCCCTTATCATTGGGTCTAGACCTCGCTTTTGTAGTTCCAGTCTTCAAGCCATATCCTAAGGTATCAGGCCTGCTGACCCAAGTAACATCCACCTTAGGTTTTTCTCTAATAGCTTGACCTGAACTTTGGTCTTGGTGAGCATGGAACAAAAGCTGGTCTGTGACTCTTTACACTGAGTGACTCATTACCTCTACCCGCCTTGGGATTCTGTTTCAAGGACTGATGTGAGTATATCGAGGCTCAGTTTCCCATAACAATTTACACGTTCAGAACTGAGCTGTCATCTTTCCTAGCTGTGTGATACTATTATGCAAGCCATTGGCCTGTTCTGTGCTTTATAGTCCCCGCGTGTATAGCGGCTAGGTTACAGGACTGTCATGAGAATGAAATGAATTAATTCATACGAAAGAGTTAGAACAATGCCTGCCACAGGCTAAGCCCCATGTGGCAGCCGTTTACCAGTCTGGACATACACACACACAAAAAGATTATGTTGTCAAGGGGCTGAGTTCTGTCTTTCCATTCCCATGTGACTATCTGATCACCAGTGATTAGAAGTGGAAGGAGCTGTTGTAAGGGTCATTGACTGTACCCCCAATACCATCTGTAACAGAGAAAGGCTTCCCCAGAAGAAAGAGTAGGTGCCAAAGAGAAGGAACTTGAGGAAGACATTCTAAATCCTACCTCATACAGTTCTCAGCACTGTTTCCTGATATGGGTTTAGGGTTGAAGCCTCCAAATGCAGCATCTGAGAAGGGGTAAGTGAGTGTGACATCTGTGTGACTGAGTGAATTTCAATATGCAAAAATTCCATGAAAAATGAAGGAGTCCAAGGATCCCAAGACAAGGGACAAGAGCTAGGAAAAGATGAGGGTTCAGCGTCTACATGTGTCCTGACCATGTGCCCTGACCTGGTTGCCAGTGGTTAAAAATCAAAGCCAAAACCACACAGCAGAGCTGTCTTTTAACTAAAAGTCATTGTTGGAACTCCATAGTAGTCAGTTACTGACCCATGAGGATAGGAATCTCCAGGGCAAGGTGGCCCCCAAGAGAGGACATTTCCAAAGGGAATTTGTGAACCCCTGGCAGCCAGAATTCACTGCTGCTGTGGTTTGAGAATGCAGGTCTGGTAACAAGGCCTTCACAGGCCTCCAATGTCTTCTTCTACTAATGTGTAACAGTGTTGAGATTGACTATTATTCATCAAATACATATTATACTTGTTCTAACAACTTCTTGTGGGCGCTATTATACTTTAACCCTGCTTTTATTTTTATCTTCCACATACAGTGTATTTGGTGTCGAGAAGAAAGGGTTTGCAAAAAGTACTGTTTCCCATATTCTGACTGTAAATTCAATTCTATATTTTGGGCAAACTGTAGAGGTGAGTTGTCCTCATTTAAACTTTCATGATTTTATTTCAATTGACTTGCAAACAGTAGAAATTTGCTACATTTAAAGGATTTGAAATTATTACATTTGTTTTAGTACAATTCTCTAGTCCAGGGCTGTTCTTCAGTACTGTCCTCTGGTCTAAGATTGTTGGTTGTTCCAGATGGAATTGATTCAAATTGAGTCAGGTAGAACTCTTGCCATAATATTCGCGGACAGTTTAGATTTCATCTGTAAAATATCTCTATTGTATGATATTCATAACCTAGTTAAGGGATGTTTGTGTTCTAATGTTGTAGAAACTATGACAGTGACTGTGTGTGTGTGTGTGTGTGTGTGTGTGTGTGTGTGTGTGTGTGCACGCTCGTGCATGGGCGCTCACACACACGCATGCATGTTTGCATGTGTATATATGTATATATGTACATGCTAGTACTGAAATGCAGATTCGCTGAGCCTAGTGATGTTACTCTAAAATATTTCCTCAGCTAATGTAGTCTATATTGAGAATTACCATTAAGAATGGTGACTCCTACGCTGGGTGGTGGTGGTGGCGCTTGCCTTTAGTCTCAGCACTCGGGAGGCAGATACAGGAGTATCTCTGTGAGTTCAAGGCTAACCTGGCCTCCTGAACAAGTTCCAGGACAGCCTTCAAAGCTTCAGAGAAACCCTGTCTCAGAAAAGAAGAAGAAGAGGAGGAAGAGGAAGAAGAAGAAGAAGAAGAAAGGAAGAAGAAGAAAAAATGCTAACTTGAAGAAGAATGGTGATTCCTCCTTAAAACAGCAAATATAATTTTCCAAAAACAATCTTTATATTTGTAATGTCAAATTCGGATATGTTATGTGGTAGTTACCAAAACAGAAAAAAGGTGCTAATAGTTTTCAATGAAATTTCCAGAAAAGCTAAAACAGGTGATTTTCCAAGTGAGCATTACTATTGTAAGAAAATCCCATCTATTAATCAGTTTCCTGGTATTTTTTTCTTAATTGAAGTGAAAATATGTAATTATTCCTAAATCTCTGCTTGCTTCAGGTTCTATAGGTCTTTTTCCCCCAGAGACTTCTACTTTTAATTTTAAGTAAATATTAAAAGGCAACACAACTAGGAATACTCTGGGATTCCATCTTTAGGAAGGTCAAGGCCAGCTGAGTGGTAGAGGGATCTGTCGCAATAAAACCAGGCTGGGCTGTTGCCTAGTTGGGAGAGGAGAAGTTGAATTCCCATCACCACACGAAAAAGAAAAAGTGACATAACCAATTAATGAATTTTCTTTTCTTTTGTTCAAACGAGACTCATGTAGCTCTCGCTGTCCTGTAACTCTGTATCTACAGATCTTTTAATCATCTGTATTTGTACCTTATAAAAAAGTACGTTGCATTCAGTACGAACAGAAATTCTGATCTCCGATTTTGTGTTTTCCCCTTTAGTTCATTTCACTGTATTCCAGGCTAACAAGCTATATAGTCTGAAGGAGGGGAAAGTACATCAGAGTAGAAATCTGCTTTTCCGGCAAGTGTGGACTGTCTCTGACAACAAAAAGCTGGTGCTTATTCAACAAACCCCTCCCTATTGTCTGCAGGCACCTTCACAAAAACGGAAGTCTGGGGCCTCTACTATCTTACGTTGAGAAAGTACCAGAAATGAAATAGAAGGCAAATAAAGAGAAAAATGGTGCAATAGTCTGAAAACCAATTCTACAGGGCAGATGATTTTCACGACAGTGACTGTTGCATTAGTGGTAATCATAGAACATATGGCTCAAGCTATTGTAGCTCATCCTCAACAGTGATTTGAGAATGTATATCTAAGAATCCAGATTGCATGATGCTAGAAACATTAAAAGCTTAAGAAATTTTTATCTCTTATTAAAATATGTCTCTTTTCATCAATTTCAGTTGACCTGTTTGGAATCGTGATGCTGATACTGGTCGTGCTATTAGCAGTAGGATTCTTGTGGTATTGCCTCGCCTATTACTTTTACATGCAGGAGTATGTCATTTTATCTTTCCTAAGAATTCACTTTGGGATGATAGTACTGAAAAAAATACTAAGATAGTTAACAGGAAGTGTTTAACTTTTTACTTAGTGTAAACACTGTATCCACGTGGTAAGGAAATACTGAAAGGTAATACAATGTTATAAGATGAAAAGAAAGGATAACCAAGTTTCCTGTCCCACCTCCATCTCTAGCGTGGCTTTTGCTGAAGCCATCCTTCAGTTGGTTGTTTGTGGGTCTACTGATTACCTCTGTGTAACTGAACTAGATGGTTGAATACTTTATGCCACACTAACCTCACATACTATTACACTGAGCTCCCCACCCGGAACTCTGAACGTTTTATCTTGTGATATTCGGATAACCTTGTTGTTATTTTGATATGTTATTTTGAGATTTTTAAACCATTTTTCATTGTTTTTAGTGGCCTTAAGGTTACTAATATTTATATAATGCTTATCTTTTGGGATTTACTTAGTCCATTTAATCCTCTGTTTTTATATTTGAGACTTTTAGTAAGATAAGAAAATTTGATGGATCCCCTTTAATATTTTCTTGTTGTTTTTCAAGAGAAGGTTTCTCTGTAGCCCCGGATGTCTTGGAATTAGCTCTGTAGAACAGGCTGACCTCTACTCCCGAGTGCTGGGATCAAAGAGTGCACCACCATGCCCGGCAGCTCTCCTTTAATATTAGCTAAGGGACACAGGCAGGTGCACCTCTGATTTTAAATGCAGTCTGGTCTACATAGTTGGATCTTTCCTCAAAAATATTTTTTGATTCCCCACATTCTTATCATTTATCTTCTCTTCACATGAGGCCCCGGTGTCGTAAGCTTTCACATTCATTTGGCTTTATGTAGTAGTCACTCTCCATTTTGTGTCTATAATTCCACCTCAGAATGCTCACATTTCAAGTCTGAAATTTTTAACTATTTAAGAGAATAAAACATACAAGGGAATAAATAGAGCACACAAACTCAAAACGGAAGTGGCAAATATAATTCTACACCGCTAATTCACATTGATTGAAAGAGAATTATCAATGTCCAAGTCAATGGAATTCTCCTTCTTTGCACCCATTTCTTAAAAGTCATGTTATTTTCATCTTGCTTCATATATACACTGTATCTTTCTTGTCTGTGCCTGAATTTCTAGGAGTTTTATTTCTTTTCCCCATGGAGTTTTAAAATAACTTCACAACTTCTTGTCATTCAAACGTGTAGCCAGGCACAGTGGCAATGTGCCTTTGAGCCTAGCACTTGGGAGGTGCAGGTGAAGCTCTGTGTAGTAGGGTAGCCTGATCTACAGAGCAAGCTCCAGGATAGCCCAGGACTATAGAGAGAGCCCTATCTCAACAAACAAAAAAGGCTCTTTACTCTAATAATTTAATCATTTATTTTTATATGTGATGTTTTTTCCTACAGTCGTTCTTCTAAAACTCTCCTGAACACATTTTTAATTAAGTTGGCATACACAATGACGATTGCATTATGACATTTTCTTAAGTATATGTTATTATACTTTGTTCTTACCCTCCTCACCACACCATCTTCCTCCATTTCCCTTTCCTGGTGTTTCTCCTCCTTCCCCTACCCACCCAGGAGGCCTCCACTGTGTTTTCCACAGCATCCTATAGTTTCTTTTCACAACTAATGTAGAATATTTTGAATCCTTGTCTTCCTCTGTTTAGAGTCTTTCCCTTCTATTCCCTTTGCTGGAGAGTCCTTTTCCAAAGTGACTTTGCAGAGTTTGAAAGTATCCGTATATTTCATAGTTCCTTATCAATTTGTCTTTTCTCCACTCTTTTATGACTTTGGCATGGTGGCTTTCTGTCAGACTACATGCCTCCTACAAGGAGAACTCTTAGATAAGACAGGAAGAATTAAATATAAATAGATGTGTACAAATAGGCTTATCTGCATGTGATTTATAAAAAATATAAATGTTGGCCAAAATACAGTTTGTTTGTTTGTTTAGCACATCTATTTTGTCTAGCAAAATTATACTTTCCTGGTTTTGGGGTTTATGTCCTTCCCTTATTGACAGAACAGCACAAGACAGAGAGGATGTCCATACTCCTTTACTTTCAAACAACAAAAAGATAATTGTGTGGAGAACTAATGGGACACAGCGCGTTGGTGGCAGGAGGATCTTTTTTGGTATTTTCTTTAGAATACTATGGTGTATTATGTCACTGCTTTTTTGTGTGGTGCTTATGAACAAAATAGCAAATGACATGCATAGGAGTAGAGGCCATAGCAAGTGCCCATTGCTGAAGCTACTTTTATACATTTTTAAAAAAAATGACTTGTAAATATGATCTAACAACTGTATTTGGTTCTGGTTTAACTTAGCTGTCCATCTCCATTTTAAATTTCTTTCATAGACATTCTGTGCCTTTGTTAACTGAGTGGGCATAGTATTCATGAGAAGAATTCATTCTATCAAGGAGATATTGTTCTTGATAGTCCAGTCATCCTGGTGGGGCTCTAGTGGAGATGCGACTCGGCAGTCAAGTGCTGGCCTAGCATGCATAGGGCCTGGGGTTCAACTCACAGCACTGAAAAGAAGGTCTTACGGAAACATCAGCCTGTATCTCAAAATGCCTATTTCATTTGGCATAATTTTGTTAACATATAAAAATTAAAACACTCTAAAACTTTTAAGGGTTAATAAAACATAGGCATCTGGTATTCTTTTTTTCTATTTCTTTTTTATTATTTAAATTAGAAACAAGCTTGCTTCACATGTCAATCCCAGCTCCCTCCCCTTCCATTCCCCCGCCCGCCCATCAACTCCTCCAACCACCCACCCAGTCCCCCACCCCTCACCCTCCCTGGGGGAATCTCCAAAGTCTGTCATATCATCCAGGGCAGGACCTAGGACCTCCCCCACCCAATGTGTCTAGGCTGAGAGAGCATCCCTCCACTTGAAGTGGGCTCCCAAAGTCCATTTGTATGCCAGGGATAAATACTGATCTACCCCCCAAGGTCCCATAGATAACTGAGGCCTCCTCACTGACACCCACACTCAGGGGGTCTGGATCAGTCCCATGCTGGCCTCTCAACCATCCGTCTGGGGTCTATGAGCTCCTCCTTGTTGAGGTCCGCTGTCTCTGTGGGTTTCACCATCCCGGTCTTGACCCTTTTGCTCATCACACCCCCCTCTTTGTAACTGGGTTATAGGAGCTCAGTTCTGTGTTTAGCTGTGGTTGTCTGCCTCTGCTTCCATCAGCCACTGGATGAAGGCTCCAGGATGGCATATAAGGTAGTCATCAATCTCATTATCTGGAGAGGGCATTTAAGATAGTGTCTCCACAACTGCTTAGTTTGCTAGTTGGTGTCATCCTTGTAGATCTCTGGAAATCTTACTGGTGCCAGATGTCTCCCATTCTTGATGTTTTTTCAAATGTATCTGCTCTTTCTCAAAGTAATTATTATTTGATATGCACTAAGTGTCGCTGTCACTGGAGATATAATGATGGAGAGACCAATACTTAACTTTCATTTGGGACAGAGATGAGTAAGGAAGCAATTGTTGGTTTTATTGTTAATTGATTTTTACATGATATTATATTTAATTCAGTTGTATTTTTCTTAAAATGTACTAGTTCTGATGAGTAGATGAGAGAATCCACACCAATAAAGCAAAAATACTCTGTAATTAATCAAGATAATTTCAACTATAATATCTTAAACTTTAAACTCACCATCATTTTGAACAGGCGGCAGGCCTTTTATCAAGCAAGAAATGGACAAGCTCCTGGTTTCGACTGGAGTGCTACCGGCAAGTGCTTTCCTCTATTTGATAGGCTATACCCCAGACCTTTTCAGTGACTGACAGCCAGAAGTCATTCTCTTACTGTAGACTACAGAGTTAGAGTCCATGTGGGAAACGTGACAACGGATATCATTATCCTCATTTTTAAAAACACTTTTATAACCTCAATAGTTAGACTAGGGTTTGCAAAATAGTAATAGAGTTAATGGTCAGAATATTGGCAGGGGAGTGTTAAAAATTTTAAACCATTTGGGGATTTTATTTTTCCCTTTACCAGCTAATTGACAAAATCCAAGGAGACCTTTGTCTTAAGGAATCCTTGTGGACTTTTCCCTTCATCTCATCCAGGACTCTAGGCTACCCAGTGTGTAACTCTTTTTTGGCTTCTTCAAGCTTTCCCCTAGTTACTCCCTTTCTTGGGACTCAAAGTGAGGCTTCCTCTGCTAGTCACCTTTGTTTTTACAAGGAAGAGAATAAACAGGCTTCCAGTTTGTGGCGTAGGGAAATACAGCGTTTATTCAATGTCATTTAACCACAGTGCCTCTCACTAAGCAAGTGGGAGAAAGCATTCCTTCTGGCCTCCACTGATTTCTTAGAAAATGAATCTGGATGTTGTCCTGGCTTAGGGAGTCACCGAGTGTCCATTGATTTTCTGTCACTGAGGACAACTGGTCTTGCGGCTTCCTCAAACATTTGACTTCTTCCTCTTTGTCAAATTCCCACCCAAGCTAATGCTACCTTACATTCCTTGATCCCTAAATATTAAAATATCAGTAGCATTAAGATCACAGTAGTGTATTTATGGCATTTGCAGACATTTTACGATTAATGCTTTTTTTAAGATTAAAACTTTAATGCTTTTATTGGCTTTTGTTAAAAGTATTCGAAAAGGTGAATTTATTTTCCTCTCCCATAGCATACAACAGTTAAATAACTGAAAAGACAGATCTTTCAGAGAGAGAAGGAGAACTTTCTTCAATGGTGAGTTTCTCAGAAATACTGCAGAGTTTCTGTGCCCCTGCCCATTTGTATGAAAGAGCGGGAAAGCCTAACCAGAATTATTGAGAAAGAAACACTAAATCTGTGAATTCTACAGACTAATTTCAATCCCTGAACACATTAAGGAAGGCAACAGAAGGGGGAGATGTGGAGTCTCGGAGTCAGGCTTCTCTTTTAACCCGGGTTCAGTCTAGCTAAAGGTCTGCTAAGTTATGTTTTCACAAAGCCAGCTCTCACTTTGTGGATCTGCTTTCCCGTTTCTCCTGGCTTGTGTTTACTTCTGCCTTGGTCTCTATTACTTCCTGCTAACTCCACGCTTAGTTTATTCTTCTTTGTCAAGTTTCTCACGTGTAACTTTAATGGTTTATTCCTGACGATTCTCCTTTGTTTTGTGGTCACTCACTCCTCTAAGCTTCTTCCTTAGACCTTTGCTGACCCTATACATCTCTGTATCTTTTGATCTCAGTAAGTTTTTCTGGCTTCTTTTTGACTTGTTGTTCAGGGGCGTGCTGCACAAAGACCTGAGGTCAGTCCTAGCATTGAATAAACTGAGTGTGGAGGCCCACATGGATTTCCAGTACCTGGAAAATAGAAGTAGGCAGATGAGAAGTTCAAGGTCACCCTTAGCTACATAGTGAGTTCAAGGTCAGTATAGGCTACAGGAGACTCTTCCCCATCCGTAGAAAAATTAAACACTGGAAAAAGAAACCAAGATTGTTTTTATATAATGATAAAGATGCTAACAGGATTTGTTTCAAAAGTTCATTTTTTTATCAGTGGTATGAGATTATTTTTCATGGTTTAAATTTCTATTCTTATTTGAGTACAAATACACATATATACTTATGTAGTATTTGCAGTGTGTGTTTTCGTGTGCACTCTTTGAGAAAGCCAGAGGTGAGCAACAGTGTTTCCTCTATCACTTTCCATTTGCCTTTTGAGACAGGGCTTCTCACTTCATCAAGAACTTGTGGTTTTAGCTGTACTGGCTGGCAGTCCCTAGGATCCAGGCGCCCCATCTCCTCCCCAGTGCAGGAGTTACAGTTAAGCATTGCCACACCTGGCTGTTATGTAGGGACTGATGACCCCACTGAGGTCCCTGTGCTTGTCCATCAAGCTTTTCCCACTGAGCCATCCCCACAGCCTGCCGAGTACATCTCTGCATGTCCATTCACGGCCACTGGTCTATCTGCTTGGTCATTTCCTAATACCGTAACAGTTTCATTGTGAAGTTCAATAAATAATTTAAAAATGCTAATGAAATTAAACTCTTCCCTACCTTACATTATTTTTATTGTTTCTATTTTTGTTAACTTTAATTTCAAGTAGAACAAATCTTTTACATTCTTCCAATGCTTGATATTTCACAAAATTAAATTTATGGTCTCTGGAAATCATCATTCAAGAACTTTCAGAGATACAACATACAAAGCAAATCGTGATTAGGAAATGGCGTCTTCAGATGTGTTTCTGACTTTCATTCTTTTTCATCTTCCCCTTTTCTTCCTCTTCATACCCACTTTCACCCATCCCTGACTGTTTTGCACCCAACAAGTTTGCCTAACAAACTGAGTTTTGGTTTTAAAGTGTAATTCTCATCCTCTCTGTTTGGGCAGCACATTTTATTTGAATCTTAGTGTTATTGGATGACTGTAGATTGATACTTATGCTATATAAATAATTTTTAAAAACTAAATACCAAAAAACCCCACCAAATCTAATTTATGAGCTTATGAAATGAACACACAGTTTTCAAAAGGTGAACTACAAATGCCCAATAGACGTATGAAAAAGTGTTCAACCTCACTAGCCCTCAAAGAATGTAAATTAAAGTTAATGAGAATGAGACAATCAGAAAACAAATAATAAATGCAGGGAGGATGCTTGTAAACTGGACCAACCATTATGGAAATCAGTATTGCTTCTTTTTGTTACTGACAGATCTTATAAGGACCATGTATTTTGATATACACAGCTGTCTCCCGCATCCTTTCCTTCCTGTCCTCTCCTCCTTTTAGACCTTCCTTCCCCCAGTCTCCTACTTTTATCCTGTGGCAGAAAGGTTTTCATTCTACAGTTCCCCCTACAACAACCATTATACACTTAAATGTATAATGTACAAGGCATAATTTTAAATAGATTTGATTATGTATCTTATAGAAATGTTAAGTCATTGTTAAAAATTAGACCCAGTGTTTCCAAATTGTCTTTTTTTATAACACTCTTTAACTGATTGGTGTATTTTTTTTTCTCTTTAAAAATTTTTTTTATTTAAGTTAGAAACAAGCTTGTTTCACATGTCAATCCCAGCTCCCTCGCCCTCCCGTCCTCCCCCACCCTCCTCACCGGGCCCCCCCAGTCCCCCACCCAATCTCCACTCTGATCCCCAGGGAGGGTGAGGTCCTCCATGGTGGATCTCCAGAGTCTGTCATTTCATCCAGGGCAGGGCCTAGGCCCTCCCACAAGAGTCCAGGCTAAGAGAGCATCCCTCATTGTGGGATGGGCACTCAAAGTCTATTTGTACGTCAAGAATAAATACTACCCAAGGCCCCATAGATTACCTAGGCCTCCTCACTGACACCCACATTCAGAGGGTCTGGGTCAGTCCCATGCTTTCCACACAGCCATCAATCTGGGGTCCAAGAGCTCCCCCTTGTTCAGGTCAACTGTTCCTGTGGGTTAAACCAGCCCAGTCTTAACTCCTTTGTTCATCAGTTCTCCCTTTCTGTGACTGGATTCCAGGAGTTCAGTTCAGTGTTTGTCTGCTTCCATCAGTCGCTGGATGAAGGTTCTGTTTCCCAGACTCTCTGGCAGTGGGATTGTATGCTAGTACTCCCCTGATTCATGTATAAAATCCATATATGAATGAGTATATACCATGTTTGTCTTTTTGTGACTGGGTTACCTCACTCAGGATGGTTTCTTCTAGTGCTGTCCATTTGCCCGCAAATTTCAAGATTCCATTGTTTTTTTTCCCACTGAATAGTACTCCATTATGTAAATGTATCACATTTTCTCTATCCACTCTTCAGTTGAGGGGCATCTAGGTTGCTTCCAGGTTCTGGCTATTACAAATAATGCTGCTATGAACAAAGTAGAACAGACATCCTTGTTGCATGAATGTGCATCTATTGGGTATATGCCTAAGAGTAGAATTACTGGATCTTGTGGTACACTGATTCCCATTTTCCTGAGGAATCTCCATACTGATTTCCAAAGTGGCTGAACAAGTTGGCACTCCCACCAGCAATGAAGGAGTGTTCCCCTTTATCCACATCCTCTCCAGCATAAACTGTCATTTGAGCTTTTGATTTTTAGCCATTCTGACAGGAGAAAGATGGTATCTCAGAGCTGTTTTGATTTGAATTTTCCCAATGGCTAGGAATGTTGAGCACATTAAGTGCCTCTCTGCCATTTTATACTCCTCTACTGAGAATTCTCTATTTATTTCTGTACCCCACTTTTTAATTGGATCCTTTGGTGTTTTAGACACTTGCTTCTTGAATTCTTTGTAAATTTTGGAGATCAGCCCCCTGTCAGATGTGGGGTTAGTGAATATCTTTTCCGAATCTGTAGGTTGCCTTTTTGTCATGATGACTGTGTCCTTTGCCTTACAGAAGCTTCTCAGTTTCAGGAGGTCCCATTTATTAATTGTCAATCTTAGTGTCTGTGCTACTGGAGTTATGTTCAGGAAGCAGTCTGCTGTACCAATTCATTCAAGGGTACCTCCCACTTTCTCTTCTAAAAGGTTCAGTGTGGCTGGATTTATGTTGATATCTTTGATCCATTTGCATTTAAATCTTGTGCATGGTGATAAACATGGATCTTTCTGCATTCTTCTACATGTCAGCCTGCAGTTATGCCAGCACCATTTGTTGAAGATGCTTTCTTTTTTCTATGGTATAATTTTAGCTTCGTTGTCAAAGATCAGGTGTTCATACCTGTATGGGTTAATGTTGGGGTGTTCAATTCTATTCCATTGGTCTATCTGTCTATTTTTTTGTCAATACCAAGCTGTTTCCAGGACTATAGCTCTATAATACAGCTTGAAGTCAGGGATGGTGATGCCTCCAGACATTGCCTTATTTAACAGGGTTGTTTTGGCTATCCTGGGTCTTTTGTTTTTCCATATAAAGTTGAAATTGTTCTTTCAAGGTCTGTGAAGAATTGTGCTGGGATTTTAATGGGGATTGCACTAAATCTCTATATTGCTTTCAGTAAGATTGCCGTTTTTACTATATTGATCCTACCTATCCAAGAGCATGGGAGATGTTTCCACCTTCTGGTGTCTTCTTTGATTTCTTTCTTTAAAGACTCAAAGTTCTTGCTCTGCAGGTCTTTCACTTGTTTGGTTAGCATTACCCCAAGGTATTTTATGTTGTTTGTGGCTATTGTGAAGGACAACGTTTCTCTGATTTCTTTTTCAGCCCTTTTATCGTCTGTATATAGTAGGCCTACTGATTTTCTTGAGTTGATCTTGTGTCCTGTCACTTTGCTGAAAGTATTTATCAGCTGCAGGAGTTCCCTGGTGGAGTTTTTTGGGTCACTTATGTAAACAATCACATCACCTGCAAATAGTTAAAGTTTGACCTCTTCCTTTCCAATTTGTATTCCCTTGATTTCCTTTTGTTGTCACATTTCTCTTGCTAGAACTTCAAGTACAATGTTGAAGAGGTATGGAAAGAGTGGACAACCTTGTCTTGTTCCTGATCTTGGAGGAATTCCGTCGAGTTTCTCTCCATTCAGTTTGATGTTGGCTGTTGGTTTGCTGAATATAGCTTTTATTATGTTGAGGTAAGTTCCTGTTATCTCAGATCTTTCCAAGACCTCTATCATGAAGGGGTGTTGGATTTTGTCAAAGGCTTTTTCAGCATCCAGTGAGATGATCATGTGATTTTTGTTTCTCAGCATGTTCATATGGTGGATTACATTGATGCATTTTCGTATGTTGAACCAACCCTGCATGCCTGGGATAAAAGCCT